ATTCTGCACGAGTATTGTCAGTAGTAGAAATTGGATTAACATCATCTTTATTAAGTGAACATGGACATTCTACAGCAGTGAATTGCCCATCAAACGAATTATCATCATTTTTATCAATTGAACACAAGACTGTTTTATTCATTGTTGTTTCTCCTGTTTTCATCACTCTAACAACTTGTCCTTTCTCTGTAGAAAGCACTGCCTCCTTTGGTGATTCTGTTCTTTGTTTATTACCAATTGTAATTGAATCAAGAGAGTCACTTGCAATAAAGTCACAATAATCAGGTTCTGTATTTTCACAACTTCCAGTAATATCTGTAACTGTTATTTTGCTATTCTTTTGTAATATAATATAACGAGAAGATGAAACCGAAACACCAGGAAATGAAATGGTTGAAGAAGTTGCAGTAAATGTCTTTTTATTATCCGAAGTTGCTTTGAGTTTATTACTAGTACGAGACGCACTTGTTTTCAATTTATTTTTATTTTCATCTTCATATGTTACTGAATCTGTTACTGTCAGTTTCATATCAGTTGGATTTAAATCTCCTATTTTCATTGTTTTTAATTTCAATTCTGGATTTTCTTTTGCTTCTTTTAATTCTGGATTTTCTTTTGTTTGACCTGTTATTTCAATAGTACTACTAGATTCTGTTAATGATTTAAATGACAAAGATTCTCCAAGTGTGTATTTTTGTCCCGGTGTTAAAGTAAGTGTATATTCTGTGAGATCAGTAAAATCTTGACAATCAGACTCCTTAAAATTTAACTTTTTTATTGTTTTTTCCTTATCTTTTAATGTACAAGTACAAGTTTTATCTGTTCCAATTCTATAGTATGTACCACATTTATTTGATGAAACGCCACCATTATTCAAATTTTCATCTGACTGTGTTGTATAGACACATACTGAATTTGAATCACATGTACCAGAAACTCCAGTGACTTTAATGAATGAAACTGTAACAGAACTATCCATTTCTACTGTCATACTTTTTTGTGAATCTGAATTTTGTTTTCGTAAACCAGCCTTAATAACAGCATTCTCTTGTTTTGTATCTTCATCTTCTTTAACAGTTACAACAACATCTTTTTGTTGTTTCAAATTAATTGAACTAATATTTTTTTGTAAAGTTACTGTGCAATTTTTTGTGGGTTGAACAGTTTTCCAATTCTGATTAATTGTAAGCATAGAACTAAAACAATCATCAACAAGATTCATTTTAGAATAATCAGTAATAGAATCACAATCAATCTCTGAATATTTGTTATGTGTTCTTGTACAATCACATTTCTCTGATTCAGAATGTCCATTTTTATACGCTCTGTAATAATCACACTTTTTCTTTGAAAGTGTTTGAGGAATACTATTTTCATGTTTAGCATAATAAAGAATTCCATTATTTGTTTCTGTTGTATCAACTTCTTCAACTTTTATTTCAGTTTCAATAATCAGTGGACAACTATTTGATAATTTAAGTTTTTTAATTGTTCTTTTTCCTGTTAATGTGAGTTTTGTACATGAGCCAATAGTAAAACTATCAATATTTGTATTTTCATTGTTCTCTTCAAGATTAACTTTAATTTCACCAGTTGTTAATGTATTATCAAATGAAACATTATTACAATCACTCTTAACTGTAAAATCACTTGAGTTTATTAAACAATCTTTTGACATACAAGAACAAATAAAAAGGATAAGTATATTAATAATAATCATATAAGATTAACTATGTATAAGATTAACTTTTTTAGTTATTATATAGAAGTTTAAGAATAAATACACTAACAAAAAATGTTTAAAAATATATAATCTTTTTGACTCTTAGTTTCTCTTTTCTCTTCATTTTTCCTATTTTTATCTATTACTTCCTTAGATTCTTTCAAAGTTTTTTTAAATCTTTTTTCGTTTCATTATTCGTTTCTAAAAAATAGAATCAAAATACGTTTTAATCTCACTTTATATTTTAAAAATATATACTTGTCGCTATATTTAATGATTTATACCTTATTTATTTTCTTGTTTTGAGTCAAATTAAGATTATTCCTTGTTATAAATTTATTTATGAGTTAGATAATATTTTTCTTTGATTTCAAAATATAATAATAGATTTGTAAACAATCATTCATTATTTAAATATTTTAGAATAACGAAGTATCAAAAATAATAATATAAAATATGAATATATAACAAATAGTATTAAACTAAAAGAGAGTGTCAATCGAATAAATTGAAGTAAAACACTATTCAAAATAAATACAAAGAAAATCAAATGAAAAAATAACAGATAAATATAGTATGAATGCTAATTATAAATAAAATGATAATATTATATAAAATTAACATGAAGTATTAATTATTTTTTTCATATTATAAAATATTATTATAACTAAATAATTGATGAAACAACAGTATAAAAATAATTTATACAAAAATATAAAACTAGTAAAACAAAAATAATACAGTTCAAGAATAAACCACTGTTTATTAATTAATATTCATTATTTATTATGTTTTAATTTTATTTAAACTCTCATTTTCAGTTTATTTAAATACCTTAGTAACAAAAACACATCTCCTTTATTTCAACACGTTTATTTGCAACTATTTAACTTTTATATTTACTTCTTTATATTATACAAATTCAATTATTGCCATATCAAACTTGAAAAGATGTAGTTTGTTAGAAGATTTAACAAACAAAGACATGCGTTTATCGAAATTGATAATCATTCTTTTATCATTCATGACAAATTATAAAATCCAGATAAAATATAAATTAAAAAAAAACACAACTGAATTACATTTGATAATTTCAGTTCAAATAAAAGTTACGAATTGTGTTGCACTGAAGTGATAAATAGAAATGATAAAATAATGAATAAAATAAACATCAATCATTTGAAATATAGTAATAAAATGAATAAAAATAGAAAAAATTATTTTATCTTCATATTTGATTCATTTTAAATACCATAACACAGTAAAATTGACAAAGAAAAAGAATAATTTAGATACAAAAATTGATAAATTTATATTAAAAGGGAAATGAATAAGAATAGTAAAAATAGAATAATTAAATAAGAAGATACAGAAAAATAATGAAAGAATACAGTAATATGAATAAGATGATAGATGTAAACCAAGAAAAGTTCAAATAAAAATAGATTTAATTGAAATAATGAAAGATAAAAGAAAGAATAAACAAAATAAAGAAGAAAACTGAAAAAGAATAAATAAGAAGAAGAAAACACAAACAAACAGAAGAATAAACATAAAAAGACATTATAATAAAAGAATAACCAATTGAATAAGTATTAACAAAAGAAAATTAAAAATAAAAACAATAATATATATTAATTAAGATAAAATAATTAGATTAATAGATATTGTAAAAATATACTTTTCTTATTAATTATTCAGTAATTGTTTTATTATATTTATTGTTCAATTCTTATTAATATCTTATCAATAAATATTCTATGATATTTTTATATTTCTATATTTCTATCAATTCACTTAACCATCTTATTCTTAATTTATTATCTTTTCAATTATTTGCTATATATTATATATTCTTTCATTTTTATATTTCATTGCTTTATTTATCATTAATTTGTCCTATAAAATAATCATAACGAATAGGTTGAATAACAAAATTTTTCTATTTTTCTTTTTTTCAAATATATTTAGTACTTTCAATTCACTTCTTTTTATTGATTTATTTGTCATTTAATCATTCAAATAAGTAAAATGTTTTATCAGTTATTTGGAATAATTGCATTAAATGATATAACTATATAATTATTGTTTTTATATTTTTGGTACAATTTCTTCATTACCTCTTTGATTTAATTAACTAATAACATTGTTAAAGTAAACAGAAAAACAGAGTATTGTGTTTGAAGTACTTGTGAGAAAGAATTATAATCACAAAATAACAACAATACATAACTGTTTCAATAATTCTGAGTTATGTGAATATTTATAAATTATTACAAATCATAAAATAGAAGTGATAAATACTTCCTTATTTTTTAAACAATCTCAATATCAGAAAGTGAAAATAAAAATCCAACAAATAGAAACGAATCAATAAAGCAACACATTTTTAAAGAAATTATTTAAAAACTTCAAATTGTTTTTTTCTTATGAAAGGAAATATTAAAAAAAAAATAAAAAAATTCAATAAAAATACAAAAAACATCGAATTAAAACTTCAACAATAAACGAAAACAAATACACCATTATTTAAACTGATTAAACAGAACAAAATAATCATTAAAAACAAATGTCTTTAAAAGTTCTTACACTTCTTGCATCAGCAATTGAAAAAGGAAATACAGGAATTATGTTAGAAAACTTCTTGAAAGGATTAACATCAAAGAAACAAATAGAAAATCATATTGTTAATGTTTGTAAAGAACAATTAAATGGATGTGCTGGATGTCTTGCATGTAAAAATCATAAAGAAGTGTATTGTTCACAAAATGATAGATGCAGTGAATTAATGAAAGAATTTATTGAAGCTGATTTAGTAATATTTGCCTTTCCTATTTATTGGTATGCAATGCCAGGTCAATTAAAAGTATTTATTGATAGAACTGTTATGATGATGGATTGGAACACATTTTCAGCTAAACAAGAAGTTCTTGACAAAGGAAAAAAGACAATTGTTGCTTTAACAACATGTGGTTCTGCTGGTTATGATCGAGGAGTTTTTGAAATTAAAGAAATTGCAAGTTTATTTGGATATTCTTTTAATGAAATGCATTTAACTGGTGGTTCTGATAATACTTCAATTGCAAAGAATAGTAATAAAATGAAACAAGCATATGCTTTTGGAGAAAAAATTGCACAAAAAATTTAATTCTTTTTTTCTTTTTTGTTAATGTTATGAAGTTATTTTGAAATATTAAAAAGAAAGAACAAATTATTTGATTTAATTTGTTAATTTTAATTCCTTTTTTATTTTATTCTCAATTTAAATGTTGCATTTATGAGAAATGATGATGATTTAAATTCCTTAAATCAGTATTATCTAAATGAATTAAAAAATATTAGAAATCAAATTACTCAATACTTCAGAGTTATTGTTAAAAAGTATATTAGTAGCAAGGCTGAAGAAATGGAAGGATTTCATAATGCAAAACCATTACCAGTTCCTCCCAAACCATCAGGATTAAGTAAAACAGATCCTCGAAAAAAGCCATTACCACCATCACCAGGTAATAAAAAGAATATTGTTCCAATTAAAATTAATGATGTTATTGATCAGTTAGAAAGAAATGTCAATTTCTATATTATCAAATATTTTAATAATCAATATAAAGAAGAAATTATGAAAGATGAAGAAAACGTTCTCAATTCAATAGAAAGAGACTTTTCTGCAAATTTAACAGAAGAAAATTATAAAACAAAAATTAGTTCAGATATTTCATTTATTAGAGAGGAAGTAGTTAAATTATTAATGGATTAAAAGTCATTTAATTGTCTTTTTCTTTATTCTTTCATTTATTTTTTATTGTTTTGTTAATAACAAAAAAAAATTAAAAGAAAATTAATAATTATTACTATTAAATTAGAACTATAAAACACCATTATTATCTGTTTATGTTATATTTTACCTCTATTAATTGTTGGCTTGTTATTCAAGATAAAAAATATCCTGTATGGGTTGTTCTTCTTTTTGAAAGTAGTTCAGTTCTGAAGAAAATTAGAATTATATTAAACACAAATACTAAAGAACCTGACTTATTGGTTTCTGGAAATGAAATTGCTG